GAAAATATAAGGAACAAAAGCTAAAATCAATGTTTAAATATTTTAAATAAGTTTAATTTGTATTTAATGTTATGACCATGTTACACTGTCAACCATGGACAAAGTTTATTATAATGTTGACCATGTTAAAAAGTCAACCCTGGTCAAAGTGTTAATAATGTTGACCATGGTACACAGTCAACCATTGTCAAGTGTTAATAATGTTGACCATGTTACAAAGTCAACCGTGGTCAAAGTGTTAATAATGTTGACCATGGTACACAGCCAACCAAGGTCAAGTGTTAATAATGATGACCATGGTACACAGTCAACCATGGTCAAAGTATTAATAACGTTGACCATGGTACACAGTAAACCATGGTCAAAGTGTTAATAATGTTGACCATGCATGTTACAAAGTCAACCATGGTCAAAGTGTTAATAATATTGACCATGGTACACAGCCAACCAAGGTCAAGTGTTAACAATGATGACCATGGTGCACTGGTGGACATGGTGCACTTAACTCATATTCTTTCCACATTGATTTTTTAAAAGGATGAAGAAAGATCTTTTACAAGAAGTAATGCCGAGAAAATATTTTGATAGGCTAAAATGAACACAAGGAATTATAGTGGGGAATCAAAATCCACAACATACTTGGAAAAGTCTTGCAGAAGCTATTACATATTGAACTTCTCTCTGTATAACAATTTATTTCTCATTTAGTGAGAAAATTATGAATTTTTCGAGAAGGTCTTGCAATTATTCAATTATAGTTTACTCAACAAAACTGCATGAAAAAAGTATATTTATTAAAGAAAAGGCATTTATCTGTTTCTTTGATCAATTTTCTTTAAAAAAGATTATAGTTAGCACATTAAACTGCATACCGTAAATGACCTATTAGACGCCCGGGGCGTCTATTACATTCTCGTAACGAAAGGAGGGCGTTTAATAGATAAGAGGCGTTTATTAGAGGGGCGTTTAAAAAACAGAGAAATATGCCCAAAATGTAAGAACAGCAACGAGAAATTTTCAAAATCAGATCACAGTCAACGATTTAATTCGATTCAATGTCAACATCGGAATCGTAATGGTCATTCAAGCATTCATTCTCTTCATTTGCTTCATTAATAATGTCTTAGTCTGTAATGTCCGCTAAAGGTCTGGGCGTTTGTGTTCGTCTAACTAAGAAAGCTGCATCTTGAGTGGTATTATGGGTGGTATTATGCAAGGACAAATCCACGAAAGATTGCTTGTACTTGACTAACTTTTGGAGGGGGGCGTCTATTAGATACGGGGCATTTATTAGAGAGGGGCGTTTAATAAATATTTGAACGATTAGTGGGCGTCTATTAGATACGGGGCGTTTATTAGAGAGTGGGCGTCTAATAGGTCATTTACGGTTAGCAGATTTGCTGTATATACTCAATTGAAGAATCGTTGTCGGGTTCAGAAACACAGAACATAGAAGCTGAGACCGAAATGGCACATGGGAAATGACATAATTATATTATAATTTATTCATTTGCTTTCAAACATGGTTGACCATGGTCTACCATGGTATTGATTTTGCTTTCAAACATGGTTGACCATGGTCTACCATGGTATTGATTTTGCTTNTACCATGGTATTGATTTTGCTTTCAAACATGGTTGACCATGATCAACCATGGTATTGATTTTGCTTTTAAACATGGTTGACCATGGTATACCATGGTATTGATATTGCCTTCAAACATGGTTGACCATGGTCTACCATGGTATTGATTTTGCTTTTAACAGGGCTTCTGACAGGATGCGGATGATTTTTTTTTTTTACAGGATTATACACTTTTTTTTAAAATTTTGCTTCTTTATTTAGCTCCAAACTTTGTTTAACTAAAGTTTTACGCAATTATTTACAGTTTTACCTTGATTTTGCTTCTTTATTTGACACTGGCCTTGTTTATCTCAGGTTTTTATTCCACACGTGTAATCGTCGTGCAATTCTTCTCGATATGTTTCTCTCCAAAACATTGCTTTGAATTTTTTTTTTGAAACCTTAAATTTATGATCTGTTTTTGAAGCTCAACAAAAAATCTCAACGTTATTTACCACCTCACCTCACCTTGCACAACAATATATCGTTTGCATATTCGTAGTTACTGCGCAGTAATAGATTGTCTATTATGTACGCCTTATTATAGGAAATTAACTCGCTCCACAAAATCAAAAATCCTTATAAATAGCATAATTTAAGTCGTGTTAATTTCTTCTCTTTTTTCCATATTTAACGGCTTCATAATAAATTCATCCATTTTGAGCTATTTTAGAAGTCGCTAGATCTCAAATGTTTACGAGAGAAATATTTTACGCGCGAAAATCTTGTCTGCAAATACACTTCTAGCCAATCAGAGAGTACGTTTTATTTAAGGCTAGTTACCAGGCTCTTTCACGGTTTTTAATTAAGAACGCCTTGTTCCTTTTCATTACACGATGGCGTATGATTCAATATACAGTATTAAACGCTGTTCATTGCTTGAAACTTGGTAAGTAAACGATAAAAAATTCGTAATTTCATCAAAATAAGAAAACATTATAATACATTTCTTCTTGATTATTAAGTTTTCTTTAGATTTTTGACGAATTACGTGGGATTTTGCCGGATTATGCGGAAATCGTTCGATTGTGCGGAAAAAGGCGAATTATGCGGGTCCGCACCCGCGCATCCTGTCAGAAGCCCCTGTTTTAAACATGGTTGACCATGGTCTACCATGGTATTGATTTTGCTTTTAAACATGGTTGACCATGGTCNTTTTAAACATGGTTGACCATGGTCTACCATGGTATTGATTTTGCTTTTAAACATGGTTGACCATGGTCAAACCATGGTTGTTATTTCACATAGCAAGACACTAACTGACCATGGTTTACCATGGTTAAACTTGTGCTATTTAACGTTCATGGTTGACCATGGTGAAACCAGGGTAACATCATGGACAAACCATGGTCAACCATGTTTACTTGACCATGTTCTAACATCATGTTTGACCATGGTCCTGACGAAGGGTGCTTTTACAACACATAAAAAGATCGAAAAAATTGAAAATAGGAAAATAAGAAGATGAAAAGGAAGAAAAGAGAGAAAGAAGAAAGCTAGGTAGAGGAAAGAGCGAAGAGAACAACAACAAAAAAATAATAATGCCGAATATTTGAACCCATTATTATACGATATATAAAACACTCCTGCTCGTTTATTAAACAGTACACCTTTTGCTGTTCAGTAACAGAAAATATACATTCATTCGTGCCAATAGTTGTCGTATCAACGTGTAATGTACTTTCATCAACACCACACGTACATTCATGGGCATAAATGGACAATCAATAGCGCGTTTGTACATTCATATATTGCTTTTTTTCTCTTAAAGTTTATTTGAATCATGCAAATGTTTGTCGAACCACGTTAAAGAATGCTAGTAAATTGTCACACGGTCATGTTTTCTATTGTGTTTTCTTTAAATCAAGCTCCAACTAGAACAGCTTCTTACGGTTGCGTCCACACAAATACAGCCCACACCAATACATCTCCACCTGAACGAGCAACATATGTCTGTATTTATAAATAAGACACTATAATCAAGGCCTTTTGGAGAAGCTAAAGTTACTACTTACTCCATGCTTAGTACTTGAGAGTGAAGTCTGGCGGTTAAGACTTTTTATCCACTGCTCTTTGCTTGTACTTTTGATAATAAACATGCAACAAGTATTCAGTTTTAAACATTAAAAAAGTCAACATTGCACGAGTACAAATAATAATATTGCTTACATGTATTAAAGGAAATTATAAACTTCGCTGACACTGCTTACTCACAAAGTCGTTCTCGCTAGGACGGTGAGCGTTTTCGTAGAATAAGTGTCAATTTTTAGAATTCATGCTTGAATGAGAGCATGACTGATTGTTAATTGTATTCCTTACATTGGTCACGCCATACTTAAGCATATAATCTCGTACCCAGAGCCCACATTCCTCTTGGTCAGTACTGAGAAACGAGAGGCTCTGGCTTAGGCATTGCATGCCATGGATTGTTGGAAAACGACATCGAAATTTGTGATTCCTGTGTGTTGCTTTAACAGAGAGAATGATTTCCTTTAAGCTCCCGCCCCCCTTAAGGTGTTATCCCTGTAATTCTAAAAGAGTTGCAGGCTCTGCGATTATTTCCACTACTATACAGTGTTGCGGTATGCATGTCACACTATTTGTCGAATTGCCCAAACATAGCTGTACACGGCTAAAGAAATAAATTCCAGATAAATGTATTTCACTCAGAAAATATTCATTTATTCGCAAAAAATAACAAGCAAAGCTTTGCTACAAATTTCATTAAAAATATCAATCAGTATTTCTATTTTCGGGTCTTTAATGACTAATTGTTTCTTGAAACAAATAACCCAGTTGTATACCGAGACGACCCCACGACGTTCTTGTGTCTCATAGCAATCAACTCGTAACAAGATGTTTTGTTATCGTCAACTAACATGAAGACTGTGACATAACATACAAGGAATTTATGGCATGTGGTGGTTTATCGGATAAGTCTTAACCTGCATACACGTTTATGTTCATAGCTACTTTTGAAAACTCTGTTAATATTTGTCTTTCACAAGATGAATATAATTGAAGATGTTATAGAAGTACTTTTGGTTTTGTTGATGTTAATTTTGACCTTTTGTGACTCAGGTAAGTCAAAACTAAGTACTATGAATAGTATTTGCGCGGAAGTAATGATAGATTAACAGTTTTAAATTTCATCTCAGAATAATGCCATGTCATGTCATTTTATACTTTAGTTAGTTAGTACTCAATNAGATAGGGCAAAAGGATTAAGCGTTTTGAACGATGAAACTATCGTATAAAACCACGCGTGCTTGACCTATTACAACTTTTGTTTACTGGAAGGCTTGCTCTCCAGTTTTGTGTTGCTAAGCGGTATCCAAGCACGTGACCACTAGCTGCAAAGGGCCTATTTCGTTTGGCTGCAATAATTCTAATTTCACCAAAGTTTTTAATTGTGAAATTTAATAACAAATAGAAATGTTAGAAAGGATTTATTATATATTATTATATTAAGTTTTATAATAAAAGTATGTAGTATAAATAGCTATGAATAATAATATACTATTATTATCAGATTTTCATGTAGCAAAAGCAAAACTCTCGCTGTTTATGTTTATAGGAGCTTATCCAAATCAACAAAAAATATTTTATTTACAGCGATAATCTTTGTATCGCGACCCACCGTTTCAAAACCCTGCTTGGATTTGGTCTTTTCCGAGCCGTCAATCATCTTGTGCTTATGCAAATGAGTCTACGAACACGATCGCTCAGCTTCGGCCATCAAACAGGCATGTTTTTTCGAAAATCTAAAATGCGATGCGATGGAGAGTTGTTTTTAAGTCTTCTTCCTCCAATTAAAGCCGTTCTTGTTGCTCATCCTTATCAAACTCAGAATTTGTGATATAACATTTATCATTAGCAAAATGTTTTGTACTGTTCTCAGAATGGACGAGGAAAATATTTTGAGTACTTTTACTTAAAAAGCTGTGACGGTAACCTGTGGTTGTTTTCGTAAGCAAATTTTATAGTGATTAAGACAGTAGTTTGTAAATTATTAGTAGGAATGTGTCGATGTTAGTGTTTCATCCGAATTGTATTAAATTCCTAAGAATTCAGGAACTGAATGTTTGGGCTTTGAATTCCGAGGCTGTGGAAACTCACCGCTTAAGGCTTCTCCCCTTTCCTCGTCTTTGCCTACATTCAGCTGATTGATCAGCCTTCTCTTAACTTTAAAACTACTCTCATAGCAACTTTTTGCAATATATTTTTGAGTCATTTTAGATTTTCGCAAATAGATAAGTTAATGGCCGACGCTGGGCGATCGTGTTGAAAAGAATGAAAAGTTAAAATGAAAATGAAAGTAGACATGCAGTTAGTTGCAAAGTTAGTTGCAACCATGACCGTGCTCGGTTCACTATTGGTCATTCCGAGGTTGATCATGAGGCAAAGACTATAGGTAGAATTGGCATACCATTGTGTTATGCAACTGTTTTCTGAGAGATATTTCAAAGAGGTGTTCTTTTATTAATCCTCTAAAATAGTCCCACAGTGCACTGCAATGCCAACTCGACCAGTTTTAAATGTTTCCTCAACTTGGGGAGGGCTAATGCTAATAAAGCATAATCCTCTGTCAATCAGAGCGCGCGTTATTTCTAAGCTACATAGATATTCCGCGAAACAAGTAAACGGCTTGCACGATAAATGACAATGGTTTCAAAAAGGTTGCATAATGCACCATTTACGAAAACGTACATATGCGCGCCAGTCATTAAAAAAGTATCATAAGTATGTCATTAATGTAGTTTATAATGCGAAGCTGAATTTATTTAATTTGGGTAGTTAAGTACCCCTGCTGATTCTTATTCATCGCTTTACTTTCATTTGTTCCACAGCAATCAATCACAAGCCATATATCCCTGATGATGTCAACGTTATTATTAAAGTACCAGAAGACACTAAAGTCGGTGAGTATCAATTGTCTCAACTGTGCTCATATTTGATCCACAAGTCCATCATTAATATTATTATGCAAAACTGACTCTGTGTGTTGTTGTATAGGTACGTCTATTCGTAATATAACAGCAGTGGATCAGGAAGAACAATACATAACATTTGGTCTGGATGATGTTGGTAAAACAGTGTTCAAAATAAGCAATTTTAATAAAAGTGTAGGTGAACTGATCTTGAAAGTATCGCTTAATAGAGAAGTAAGTATCGGCATTTTCGATTTTTCTCACTGCTGATCTATTTCTATAAATGTGTTCTGACATGTATTTTTCCGCATGTATAAGGTTCATTCCGGGGTTGAGGAAAAACACTGGGTCGAGTTKACATGTGKGRCTGATATTGTCCCCAAAGCACTCCAATGCCAACTCGAYYCACTTTTTTCCTCAACCTCCACCTTAATACTATCAATTCCGTTAACATAAGCATATATTCTACTTGATAATTGTTGTTGTTTGCTATTGCTCTTAGTCGGTTAGCACTTACGATTTCCACGTGACAGTGACGGATGRCGRAGATGATAGAAAGGTATGYAGCAAATTCGTGATGACGTGCGGTATAGGGGGGCCATTGTACGACGATAACCTTGTCTTACATCAGGACTGTCTATATATACTCATACCAAATGGTTTGCAGGCTGCCTCTAATGGTTTGTTCTTTTTTTTTTTTATTGGCTCCCCCGCTTGAACGGCCCGAATCCGGCTTCTGTCTGGACCGGCCTTCACAACAATTTTTCTTACAAAAACAACAATGRCAGCAACAACAACAACAAATGAACAACAACAACACAACAACTGCGCAGTAGAACCATTTTTGCACTATTTTGACGAGAGAAACACTTAGCAATTCTCTTTATGTGGCCTTCCCTAGAACTTAAGAGTTTGGAAGTTTTTATTTTTGTGAYCTACTATATTGCAGTAAACAGAATAATATGTCGCTATTGGACGATATTTCAAACTCTATGGACCGACTCACACTTGATCATTTGCCAGACTTACTTGCTTTATTTTATTATCAGGTATCAAAGTTGTTCATTCTTAACGTTGAGGACGTGAACGACAACAAACCAATCTTCGTTACACAGCCATATTGGAAAYCAATACTTGAGGTAACGTGACGTTGATTTGTTATCTTTTCACCCTAGTCTTGTTTCGTGGTTGAGAAATACTTTATATCTTTTAGAATACAACTGTTGGTACGGAACTTCTGACCATCCAAGCGACAGACAGCGATCTAGGTTCTAATCAAGTTGTCACATACAGATTTAGTAACGATTCCAAYTCTGCTCAGGTGAGATTATGATACAAATAGGCTCTCTTACTCCATACTATCTTTGTCCTTTAGTACAGTTTAGCACTGATTTATTTTCGTTTRTTATCGTTAYACCAGCWCAGTCCACTAGTGTTATTACTMCCTCATGTTATTTGGTTATRTATAAGACAAAAATCCTACCGTAAAGAGATTTTTTAAAGAGACAGTTTATTATTTGTGATGGCAGTGGGAAAGGGTTGAAATATTGGTAAACTCCATTTTAAATACCAACCTCTCCAATCTATAAGCAAGGCTGAAATGTTTGGAAGCCCCCTGTCCCCATTCCGATTTTTTAAATCATCTAAAGACTCTCTTCGCCCCCAACCGAAACCACCTCCTAAATTAGCACGAATGTCTAAAACGTTACTAACCGATCTGTCACCCCTCCGATAATAATTAAAGACGCTTGCTTAAAGAGGAGAGTAGTATACGAATTTTTGCTAACTCAGTTCTTTTGTCGTTTTGCTTGCACTCCCCAGGACAATCCACTTGTTACCTTGTGGAAGGTTAGCACTGCTTGCACTGTTAAAGGAACTGTAAAGTATAAAAACTATGATAAATATATGTTGCAAAGTCTTCAAAAGCTTGCAATTGTACATCCCTAGCATCACTGCTTTATCAGCAACATTCAATAATGAAAAGTGAAAGCGATTGGGCTAGCCCTATGTAAAAGCTTCCTGAATGCAATATGCAAGCGAACGAAAGAAGCAATGTGATATAAGAATGCATAATATAATCGTAAATAATAATTTATTAATAAATTATAAATATTCAATGTTAAAATAGAGAGTAGATACTAATAACTTTGCATCGTTCATAATATTAATTATTAATAAACATAAAGTCAAACTTTTCCATAAAGAAATATACTAAATTAGATACCTAAAATAAGCCAAAAATTAGCGCTCAGCTTGTTCCTAAATGAACCAAAGAGTTGCATGTTTGACTTGCGTGTTTGAACCACAGGATTGCATGTTTGGACTAATTATAAAGGATTGCACGTTTAAATCATATGATTGCATGTTAGACTTGCATGTTTGAACCACATGATTGCATGTTAGACTTGCATGTTTGAACCACATGATTGCATGTTAGACTTGCATGTTTGAACCACATGATTGCATGTTTAAAAGGATTGCATGTTTGGACTAAAGAATTGCATGTTTGAACCACAGGTTGCATGTTAGACTTACATATTTGAACCACATGATGGCATGTTAAACTCGCATATTCGAACCACAGAATTGTATGTTTGACTTGCATGTTTGAGCTTAAAGGAATGCATGTTTTAACGACTACACTKGCATTTTTGTTTCGTTACATCATGTAAAGGTACAATGGAACCGAATTATTTGTTGGGCAGCAGCCCACCTTCCATGAACTTGCCGCTAGTTTTGTCTCGTTCAGCGCATAGCTATGAAAAGAGTGGTACTAAAAATCACAGACCCGTAAGTGAAATAGCATAATTCATTTTTTTWRAAAAGTATTCCTCATGTTGTTTGTTTGTTACCTCAACAGACTTCTAAGTTTGCTATTGATAATTTACATGGAACAATCACTCTGGTGGCACCTTTGGACTACGAARCAACAACAAGGTACTTGTTACCTGTTGTGGCAGAGGTAAGGCTCCATCGTCRTCATCTGCGATATCCATCCTGTAATGTAATAATGTAATATCACAATCCTCACCGGACCACTAACACCATATTGTATCATCATCATCAAAATGATCCAAACTTTGCAGTGAAGCCACTCGCTGCGCTCGTGGTTCCACTTGAGTTTGGATCATTTTTGACGTCATTTCATGTTCGATTAYAGTACAGACCCATAGATAACCGAYTTTGATTTGTTAGATTTTTTGTATCTCARTTTTTTCGTTTAGAAAGAATTGATGCAGAAGACACTACTGRTGGTTTATGAAAAAAATGGAAAAGGCGCGCGCATGCTTTATGCAGTTATAAARCAGGCAGGGGTTGGCAGAACACGAGAGAAGTGTTAGGAGAAGCACGACTCGTAGAGGAGTGGTCGAGACACTTTTCGAGTGTTCTGTCAATCCCCAAGTTCTTTATAACTGCACACAGCACAGCAAGCAAGTTTTTTTTATTTCTTTTATAAAATACAAATTACGATAACCGTCATTTTAGATGGGGATGACGCAACTTATGTGACGCTTGATGTGTGCTCTCATAAAGCACGCGCCTCCAACCAATCAAAACACAAAATTTATAACTTAAGTTTATTCACTGTTATTTTATAAAAAATATTTTCTTGCCAGGATGGAGGTAATCCCAAGAAAAAGAGTGAGACCACTGTTGTTATTGACGTAACTGATATCAGTGACAACCCACCGAAGTTTGAACAATCTGTCTATCTGAAGGAAATCGAAGAAAACATTCCTGTGGTAAGAATTATTTAGACGAAAACAAACAAACTTGCCAACCAAATGACAAATTTTCAGACGGGCAGACGGGCAGACGGGCAGACGGGCAGACGGGCAGACGGGCAGACGGGCAAGGACATTTGAATACACGATTGTGCACACTGAAGTTTTCGAAATGTGATGAGTAACCTCCCCACTTTCCCTCTCCAACTCACAAGCTGTATTTGAAAAAAAAAATTGATGTGCATTATTATGTAGGGAACAAGCGTGCTGACAGTTGTCGCAAGAGATGGTGATGCTGGTATTAACAACCCAATAAAATACGAAATATACAAAGGTATTAACAATACTTGACACAATTTCTTATCTACGTACCTATGTTTTGAGAAATTGAATCATATTCATTATCCCGGGAGATGACTTGATATTCATAAGCATTATATAACCAGTAGTAGACTATTTTTTGGAATAGGTCCGGTCAGTTCACCAAGATAGAGATTGATTGACCCACCGCAACCCTCTTGTTAACAAATTTTCTTATCACTTTGTGCTCTTTGTCGTGCAGCTCCACAGGAACTCGTATCCACATACCTTAATGCTAATGAGTAAGAGGGAAGGATAATGTACTAGTTCTATGTTATCGGTCAGCTTTTTTATTGAACTCTAATCTTTTGTTCTTTGAAATCTCTTCAGGTAATGATGGTACGTTTACTATTAGCAGCAGTACTGGTGTCATTACGGTCAACAGTACAATCGACGCGGAGAAGACACAAAGCTACGACCTTCACATCAGAGTAAGATATCCATCTAGTAAAATATATTTAGTCCACAGTAGTTAGCTCCACAGATGATATACTTTCTTAAACTCTTTTTCACAGTTTCTTAGTTGCTGTTGTTGTCTTCAGTAGTGGATTTGCACAACCATGTTACTGCAGCCATGACAGGAGACACAACCATATAGTCATTTTCCCCTGAGAAACACAATTCTTTCTTTTGTAAATAAGAGTATACCATATCCAATTGTTCCTGCCTCCTGTCATGGCTGCCATGACGTGATGGCGTGCAAAGTCTTTATTTGTTAATCAAAAAAACTAATTAATTAACTTTGTTTATAGAGGATAACACTTGACAGTAGTTCAACTGATAAACTTGTGTTCCTCTGTTAACGTCCTTAGTTAATTACGGATGTGACCGCCATTAACGTGATCATCCGAGGCACGTGAAGGTCTAACCATTTGCAGATGTAATTACAAAGGTAGCACCTTCTCCTCAGTTATATTAAGACCCTGAGTGTTGGTCCGGCCGAGRCTTCAACCACGACCTCCCGCACAACAGACCGACGCTCTAACCAACTGAGCTAACCGGTGTCTTTTCCCTTCAGCTTCTCTTAGTTACTGTTGTTGCTGTTGGTCATGTCCATGAGGATCTTTTTCTTTTTTAAATTTTTTTTCTCTTCTTCAGGCTTCTGAAGTTCCCAATCCAAACTCCAACGCTACAGTGCCAGTCCTAATAACYGTGATAGATAAGAACGATAATCCTCCTATCTTCTCACAAGATAGCTATTCATTTTCATTACGAGAGGATCTGGCCAAACCCGGACGAATCGTTACGGACCAGTTAATCGTCAGGGATGCCGACAAAAACGTAAGGCCTGATTAGCGAGATCAACTTTGTCAACTCACCCTTAAAGTTTAACCTAGTTTCAAGTTAAGGTCGAGAAATGTGTGAGAAACAACCCTATCCCAAGTGTATATTGTGTTTTATGAAGTTACTGAAATGGTGACGTTGACTGGCAATCTTGGTGCTGCTGATCAATTGTGGTGGGTTATGACAGCGATGATGATGCTGATTACGGTAATTATAGAGATTGCTGTGATGCTGGTGATCAGGGTGATGATGATGCTGTGGTGATGATAATTATGATAATGATCAAAATAAAGATAATAATGATGTGTGGATAGCTAAGATTGTTATTATTATTGTGCTCCTGTTTGTCTATATTGATGATTCATGGTAATGATGATGACATTTCAGCCTAAATTTCGGCGTTTCACGTATCACTTGACTGGAGGGGATAGCGACAAGTGTCGTATCGACCCATSGAGTGGCGAGGTCCGGATAAGCAGTACACTGGACTACGAGACACAAGTCAATTATACCTTCACCGTAAGTAAAACCTTATCGGTGGTGCAACAACAAATGACATGAATAGTCACTGACTTGGACCGAGGCTCTCAACCTTGGTGGGCAACGTGTTAACTGGGACTTGTCTTTACTTTTATGTGATGGGAAAATTGATCACTGAAACTGGATAGACGAAAATGCCAACAAGTCATTTATCTAAAACATGATCATCCTCGAGACAAGAAATTTGGAAAAAAGGATCAGCATGAATATTTGTTCTTAATCTTTATGCTCTTTCATGACCCATACCGCCATATACACCTTGATGATATTGCGTTAACAGTTTTTCTTTCCACAGATCGTCGTAACAGAGACAGAAACAGACGAGAAGTACAGTGATAATGCTACTTTTCACTTGACTCTCATCAATGATAACGACAACAAACCAATCTTTCCTAATTCTTCATATAATTACACATTCGACGAAGAGGTCCCCCYAGGGAAAGAGATTGCTGTTATAACGGTGAGCAGGAAAACCTTTCTGTTATTTAGAAATAGTGTAGACGCATTAATTAGTATACAGCTATTTCAAAAAAGGTTGGTGAAGGTTTTGTTGCATGTTGCATGCCACACTCCAGCTACACTATGGACGATGTGAATACAATCAGCGAAGAGAATCAAAACGATATGAAATGTTTTCTATTTTTTTCGGCATAATTTTTTTTCTTTGCTTACATTATCGGTTTACATGTCGGAATATTATCAACTTTAAGTTTAGTAAGTAACATGCAACATGCAACATGCAACATGCAACATGCAACATGCAACATGCAACAAAACTTGTGCCCAACCCTGTTCGAAAAAATTGTGTGTAGAAATGGTGATGATAAATGGTAATCAATTGCAATTGTTAAACTAAAAGAGAGATGAAGGGACAATATAAGACGTTTCGAAAAATAGGAATACTTTACCTAAAGGCTTTCCCAATCAATGACGATTTCTTTCTGTTGCATCTGACAGACATCTAACATGTTTATATGTTAACTAGGCAACCGATGCGGATCTTGGTTCATTTGGCCAAGTCACTTACGAGCTGAGAGGCAGTCAGTCTTCATTGTAAGTTTACCTTGGTAATCAAAGCTTCTGTTGGTAAAGACATGTATGCATGGCTCGATTCAATTATGTTTTGACTTTAATTATATTTTAGTTTTGCTGTCGATCCTAATACTGGTAACATCACAGCAGCAAAAACCCTTGACTATGAAGAAGTCCAGAGCTACCAGTTTTATGTGATCGCTAGTGATGGTGGTGGAATATTCAAGGAAGAAGCAACTGCTACAATAAATGTTGCTTTACGGGATGTCAATGACAGCGACCCAGTCTTCACTACAGCTCCATATGAATGTAAGATCAGAGATCTTAGTGTGGTAGTTGTTGAGGTATGTAACTGTCGTGACATTTGCAAAATGGAAACAATTAAGATCATTAATGCAATTCTGTCCTAAACATCCCTATCTATCTGTTATACAGAATATCACGGTTGGGACTCTTATTGCTATAGTCAACGCTACAGACAAGGACAAAGGAAGCAACGCGTATATTGAGTACTTCATCATTAGTGGTAACGAAGATGGCGCATTTGCACTGAATAAAACAAGCGGCGAGTTAAATACAGCCAGAGAACTCGACTATGAAACTACTGCTTCATACAAGGTATGACCATCCACCTTTCTATTGATATATCATAAGTATAGTACATAAATATATGACGATACTCAGAGTTCATATCCACTAGCAACTAGCTTAGGTATACCCATTATTATGGTACTTGTGCCGGCCCACGCTAGACTCCGAGAGGTTAATAAAATTCTTATTATTACTATCTTTGTAACTAGCATTCAGATCATGGACGTCATGAAGGAAGTGATATAAAGGTCAAAGGCAGAGGAGGGTCCATGGTTATTAAATTTGCAATTGTTACTTGTTTTTGTTCTTATTTGTCATGAGCAGCTCGTTATACAAGCGAAACATGCAAAGAGTAACATAAAGTTGATCTGTCAAAAGATTATCATTTATACTGTGTCAGTTAGAAAGGTAATTCCACTTACAATGCAATTGCAAATGTTATGAATGCTATCTTTCAGTTGTCATTTACCCCATAAATCAAATAAGAAATTAAGTTAGTCAATACCCTAGAGTACTGATATTTTGTATTTGTTTGTTTGTTAATATTTCAGGTCTCTACGTCCTCCCCATCTCAAAAAAGCACAGGCAAATCATTTGATTCAGAAACTTGGTTACTTTTAATCGCAGTTGGTGTTTTAGTCTTCGTTATTGTTATCATCGTGGTAGGTGGTATCTATTACATCAGGCGTATCACCAAGCGGTAAGTTTTTAAAATATAAGTCACTGCTTACCTTCATGATAACTCGCTCAAGCTAAACAGCCTTGGTTTGCCATATACTGTTAAGCATTCGCTATGCCTTTCTGTCTTCGTGCCTTCCTTAGTGCATGCCAATGACCGACAGTATTCTCCTGAAATTTCATACAAAGACGGCTAGTTGATTGGCAAGGGAAGCACGTGGGATTTCGCGCGAAAATTCCCGCCAATTAATAGTAAACCTTTTGGAGAACTATCTACAGTTGCAAGGGTTTTTCCTGTCATGATTCCACCATGGAATAGCAAACGGACTGATTTTCTCTCCCATTTATGACTTTTTTTATGCCCTATAAGGATAGTATATGTTTGTACAAAAAGGGGAGAACTTACGTTTACGACAAATATAGACCAATATAAACAAAAAAAAGTTATTTTATTTCTACGAGGTGGAAATATATATCCCGGTGCTTCCTTTTTTTTCCAGAAGACAGTCATTAAGACAAACGGTGGATCAGCCAGATGGCGGTGTAAGTATATTGACTGATTACTTTCTCGCAGTTCTTAGCTTAGAACAATTTTAATTTTAAACCACAAACAATGAAACACCATACCTCTCTTCGTTGATTTAATTGGTCGATTCTTGAGGTGGAACCACATGACCAATAGCCGATCTAACGAGAGAAGATAAAGATGAACAGTTTTTTAGCGTCAGCCAACATGGAGGCTATGACGTAACACGCACCCCAAGAAAAGCCAATGTGCACAAACACGAATCTCTAGCACAAAGCATGACGGGAAACCGAGTACTACACAAATTAGAACAAGAAAATCAATAGAATTATCAGAAAAAAATTACTCTGTTATTGTCGTCTTTAAAAATACTCACAGTTTCATAGAAAATGTCGAAGGCAAAATTGTTAGAGGGATTTTTAGATGACCTGAAAACCTTAAATACTCGATTTCCCCTCATGCTTTGTGCCAGAGATTCGTGTCGTGCAAATTGGATATTGACCTATTTTAGAGCTAAAATTTATTAGTTTGTCACAAATAATTCCATTTGATTCACTGCATACAAGACACCTGGACATTATTTGGATATTATTGGGAGAAAAAACAGGTCACTTATTGACTTGACATTACATATTATTTGAATGTTTGCCATTTTCCAGTAAATCACTTTATTATTACTATTTTTTCTCCTATTCATTTATTTGATGAATCAGTTGTTGTATTTTGTCCTTTAAACAGAGAAATACCGTTTCTGAAGAAGCGTTTCAAATGCCGAATTTTGCATTTTATTCTGGAATTTCACCTGAAGTTGAAGAGCGAACTGTTCCGCCAACTCCTAACTCACGATGTGAGCCACAGTATGCTGATCTAAATCAATCCACTTTTTATCACAGTCTCTCTCCATCAACACAAAATGTCTCTGATGTTCAGTTAAACGAGACCAACCCTTTATCTGATAAACCACTCAACTATGAAAAGCTCCAGCATAAAAATGCTCCTCGAGAATACGAAAAAAGGATTCATTTGAATGATAGGTTCGGATCGTCCGCTAGCGAATACGAGTTTGTGGCCTAACAACTGCATACTAAAACAAGATGACTAATGAAGCATCGTAAAAAGATAGGATATTATTCTTGTGAATTGCAAAACTAGTCTCTGGTCCTGCGTATCCCTTCTGCTCACATGTATAAAATAACAATAATGAATTATGAGCATTTTTATGAGGTTTTTCAAAGGATTTTTTTCTTTTCAACTTAGTTTCTTTTAACTGGCTTAGGATGGATATCTCGTGAGGTTGCTCGTTGCAGGAAAATGGATTTCACTAAACGCTTTTATATATTAGAGGACTTACATGCAAAAAGCGATTAGTCTTGAATACTCTAGTCCGAACATATGCAAAACAAGGAGTAATAGATAAATAGAGGATTAAATACCTTGGTTTCCTTGTTTTTCAAAGGATTTTTCTGTTTAACGTTTTTTGTATAAATGGCCTACAAAACGTTTTTTTCTAGAATGCTCCTGCCCGAAAATATGGATTTACTTACTTAAGCCAAACAAAATGTT